GCACAGAAAGGGTGACAGATGTTATCTAGCCATGCTTAGCCACCAGGTGACAACACCGAAATTGAGGCAGGAGGTGTGAAAAGGGGTGTTTGTTCCAGACGGCAGATGAGCACAACAGGAAGGCTGAATCCAAACCCAGGTGCTGGTGAAGGGCGGTGGGGGGGTCAAGGATACAAATATGACAGGCTCCTTTCTCGGCCAGAAAAGCACCGAGATCCTCCTGGCCGGGCTGAGCTGGGCTCTCCCCAGAAGAGAGAGGAAGGGAAAGTGGGGGATGAGCAAACGCTGAAATGTGGAAGCACGACAGGCCTGGGCAAATCCTTTTGTTTTTCGGGTGGGTGGGAGGGCAGTCACTGCCGAACCATTGAGGAGGCGATCCCGAGGAGCTCTGCCCAGCTCCCGGGGCACCAGCACAGCCTCGCCTAATGCCCGCCTTCGGCCCCACAGGTGAGAAGCTGGCGAGCCCCACGCGCGTGCGCTTTGCTGCACAGGTAGCACATCACCTGCTGCGCTGGGAGCCGGGACACGACCCCCCTAGTGACGTCCGCTACGAAGTGGAGCACAAAGTGTGAGTACAGCGACACGGGAGCAAGGGGCTTGGGCCCCTGCCCTGGCTCTGGTACCAACAGCGGTGAGGACTGAGTCCCTGGCACCTGCCCACACTGCTCTCACCCCAGGCGCTTGTTCCCGCAGCTATGGCACAAATTCCTCCTGGACGGCCATCCCAAACTGCATGAAGATCTCAGAGCACTACTGTGACCTCACGTACTACACCCTGGATCCTGCCCTGCGCTACTACGCGCGGGTCAGGGCCGTGTCTGGAAACCACACGTCGCCATGGCACAGGACCAACTCTTTCTCCCCGCAGGAAGGTAGGTCGGGTGTCCGCCTCCACGCCGTGGCCAGGGGCAGGAGGCTTCGGGGACGGCAGAGGCCAGGGCGCCGAGCTTCTGGGGAAGAACTTTGGGACAGACAAGAGCAGGGATGTCTCTCTCTCTCCTTACCTTCCTGGAGGGCAGCTGGGCCAAGGGATGGGATGGGACGAACCTAGGAGAGGTGGCACCGGCTGCGAGGAACAGTCACAGCTCAGTCAGCTGCTGCAAAGGCTCTCAGAGCTGCAAAGAGGAGAAAAACCTTAACGTGTCCTCCCAACCCATTGCTTTCCAGCCAGCCTGCGCCTGTCGGGCCAGAGCCTCTCTGTGACGGGCAACACCGTCCACGTGCAGCTGCAGCTGCTCTTCAGGGTGGGGAACCGCACCGTGAGATACGACGACATACAGCAGCACGCGAGGAGATACCGGGTGTACGTCAGGAGGGCGCAGGACAATCGGACGGTGAGATGAGCTGCTGGTCCCGTGCTGTCCCATCTGTCACACACAGTGCTGCTCAAGCTGAAAAACACATTTTTAAAGCAGTCTTCTGTAAAACTTAATATTGAGCTTTCTTACAGCCACAATATCACAGAGAGATTTCTCTGCACATTTTATCGCAGTGGGTTCCCCAACTCTTTTTGGGAATTTGGGTCTAGCTGCTGTCAGACGTATTGCTAAGTCCCTGGGGACTTTCCCCAGGGGACAGTGGAGGAGGAGGCAGAGGGAGGAAAGCACAGGGCCCCGGGCTCCCGCAGGAGCCAGGGGCTCTCAGGTACCAGCCCGTGCTCTGCTCGTTGCAGTACGAATTGGTGGAGAAGGCCCCAGAGTTCAACATCAACAACCTCTTCTGGGACACGGAGTACTGTATCAGCGTGGAGCCCGCCGTGGCCAGCCGGCACAACCGTGCCGCACGCACTGATGAGCAGTGCATCACCACCAGCGAGAGAGACAGTGAGTGTTGCGGGAGCCAGGGAAGGGGGGGAACTGGGGGGTCCTCCTGGCCCCGGGGGCGCAGGGTCTGTGCCAGGGCAGGCCAGCCGCTCTGCACTCCCGCTGCAGCACCTTCGTGCTCCGTGCACCGAGACTCTGCCTTTCCCCTCACCGGGCACATCCTCTCTCGCAGGAAGTGCAGAGCTCATCCTGAGCATCGTCAGCTCCTCCTTCGTCACCCTGCTGGCCCTGGCCCTGCTGGGCGCTCTGCTGGCCTGCACCTACATCAAGAGACCCGTGAGGCCGCCGTCCATCCTGGTAAGGCAGCCTGGCACGCGGCACCGTGCGGCTGGGGGAGGGCGCAGGCTTGGGTCACTGCCGGGAGAGGCAGGCAATGAGCAGGGGTGAGCGTGGCTCACTTACCTCTTCTCTCTCCCTCCCAGAAGTCCTTCATAAAGCAGAGCTCGCTCTGGGGGGAGCAGGAGCCCCCGTCCTCAGGCAGCCCGGATGCAGACCCCGTCCAGCAGCTGTTCCTGGGCCGGGCCAGAAGGAGCCCCAGCAGGATAGCAGCCCCAGCACAGCCCAGTCGCCCCCGGAACGGGACTGGAAGCTCCCAGCGTGGCCCGAGGACCGAGTGTGCCTGCTGGGGCCGGGCACCGTGGGGAGCGGAGACAACAGCTGCACCAGCACCGACAGTGGCATTTGCCTGCGCACCTCCTCCTCCGGACTGAGCTGCTCCTCGGCCCCCGAGCCCCAGGGCTACAGGCAGCAGCTGCCCACCGGGGGTGCACTTTTCTGGTGATGACAGTGGCATGGGCTGGGAGAGCACCTGCCCTCGCCCCACGTGCCCCTCCGGCAGCGGGACCACCAGCCCCACGGAGCCCAGGCAGACCCACAGAGGGGAGCTCGGCCTCTCCTCCACCACCGGCCAGGACAGCCAGCAAGACGTGGAGTTCCGTGGGTACCTGCAGCAGTCCAAGGGCACAGGGGAGCCACAGCAGGAACC